TTTAAGTCTTCAATCACTACTCTGTGAAGAACATTGTGCTTGTGACACATGTTATATCAATTGATTTTGACGTCACCTGAAACTATAGTCCTGAGGCAACACAATCAATCACTTATTGTTCAAGGTGTTTGGTAATGGCTAAGAAGTTGGAAAGAATCATTGGGGAAGCTCAATATCACCTGTGAAAACTAGGCTAGATGCTGATTGTGGAACAGATCACTCATTTGCAAGTTCAAGTTGAAGATAAGATGAAAACAAATCCACAATAACTAAAATTTGACTTTGAATATAACCAACTTGAATGTTAAAACCATCTCAAGAACAAGTTTGAGACCTTCAACACTAATGAATGAAGACTAGAAGATCTGTGGGAGGATATCAAGAACATCATCAAGGAAGAATGCAAAGGGTCATTACAAAGAAAGAGGAAGACAAAAAGACCAACGTGGATGTTAGATGAGACTCTAAATATTGCACTGGAATATCGAGAAGCTAGTATTAAAATAAAATGTGCTAAGAGCTGGAGTCAGAAAATCAAAAGGGATGAACTTGCTTGACTCCTTTTTTCTTTCTTTTCTTTTTTATACAAAGAGATTGCCTTTTTTTTATTTGTGGGTTTCACATATGGGAATAAGGGCTCAAAGTCTTTGGCTGCTTCAGGCTGAATGTGGCATTGAGATGAAGGGGAAGGAGAGCCCCCTTGAACCCTTTACTGATGGCCTTGAGTTGAAGCTTCATGCCTTCTTGTTCAGTTAAAAGATACTTTCCTGACATTTTCTGCCCTCTGGACTGCAAAGTGTTTGTGTGGGTGAGCCTGGTGGGCATGGCTGGCTGAACTCTGAGGCTCTATCCACCTTTAATTCCTTAGCTGGCAGTTATATTTCCCTTTTGTCTCTGGAACAGGGTTCAGGATTCAGGTTCTGAAACAAGATTCAGTATTCAGATTACCTATAGGAAAGGGATCAAACCTAGAGAGAACAAATTTGTGAGTTACGAAGAGAAGGGCTTGGGAGATGTTACTTACAGGTGTACTGGAAGAGGTAGAAGAGATGGAGGAAAGTGGCTTAGATAAAGTTCCTCATACACACGGCAGCTCTCCCCAGGGGCCAGGCAGCTCTTCCCCCACCCTTTGCACTCCCCTGGGAACTGTGGCCTGGGACAGCACTTCTGGCCCTAGCACCGCCATCATTGCTCCCTTGCTCTCTGCCAGGTGGTCTCATTTTAACTCGAAGTATTATTACTTTTCCCTTCCACAAATTGAGAAGGAGCTTGCAGAGTGATGAACAGACCCAGTCAAGACCAAAAAAAGTAATAAAAGCAGTAGAACAAAGACTCAAACCAAGGTTGTCTGAAGGAAGGCTGTGAAGCAGCGACCTCTGCGCCCATCTTTCATCTTCCTCTGCAAACAAAATCCAGCTAAAGATAATAAAAAAAAAATAACTCAAGTTGTGTGGGGTGCTTCCCCAAAAGCCCATTAAAAAAAATTTTTTTTCACTGAACACTCCTGCCCCAAGGTTAGCAGGACTTGCAGATCAGTCTCCTCTCTAGTCCCTGGCACATGTGGCTGCCTCTTCCCTTTTGAGGCAACTACAGTCCAAGGCACAGGGTTCAGGTCGGTTGTTCATAGGGTCACTATGAGTCATACACGAATTGATGGCACCTAACAACAACAGTGGTTTACTCTGTGTTGTAATATACTCAGTGACAGTGGAAGCTTTATTATGTGCTGCCATTAGGTTAACTATGACTCATAGACCCTATAAACAAAAGGCTGGTACCTTCTCTCCTGCACTGTCTTCATGATCTCAAGTCCATTGTTGCAGTTCCCTGTGCCAGTCTATCTGGTTGAGGGTCTTTCTTCCATTGACCTTTCTCAACTGGTGAATTATACTTACATAATTACAAACATCATATTGTAAACACTGAACCACTCATAGGATACCTAATAGCAGAAAAGTGATGGACATAATGTACATTGACACTAATTGGAGCACCAGTTACAATAACCTGAGTTTACATCAACATGTGGATAGATAAGCAAAATGTGGTACATACAGAGCAGTATTCCCCTTGAGGGAAACGAAGTAGTAATACAGATGAACCATGTTAAAAAAAGAAATCTGAATGGATTTATGGCTATTTGATCATGAATGCCAATGCTAAGAAATTATTATTTAAGCAGTTATTAGATTAATTGTTCTGTTAACTAGGTAGTATAAAGAAATATGTGGACTTGACATTAGCAACTATTATGTTATAGTTCACTTTGAAGTATCTATCCAGGTTTTAATAGAAAATTAATTAGTCACATTTTCTTGTTATATCAGTACTAGGTAATGAACATCTTTCATAGAGAATATAAATGAACCTTGTAAAGTTTATGCTGAGGGGAAAAAAATCAAGACAAGACAAGTAGTACATATAACCAAGAGAGAATAAAATACAAGAATGGGACTTTCTAAGAATTAAGTCCCTATGCACATCAAAAAGATTCTCCAATACAGTAAGAAGGAAACCTACGTTGGGAAAATATATTTGACAATGACATGTCTGATAAGGGATTTACATGTAAAATTTCTAGAATATTGTAGCACATCAACAAGAAAAGGATAAACAACCCAATCACAAAATGGGCGCAAGTTATGAATAGACACTTCACCAAAAAAAGGCATTCAGAAGGCAAACAAACACATAAAGAAATGTTCAAAATCCCTAGCTATCAGAGAGATTTAAATCATAACAACTGGCGATATTATCTCACCCCAGCAACAAAAGCAAAGCTTAACAGAGCAGCAAAAAGCAAATGCTGATGAGTTTGTGGAGAGATTGGAACTCTTAGTCACTACTGGTGGGAATGTAAAGTGGTACAACCACTATGAAAGGTGGTTGGGAACTTTCTCATTTGACTCAGCAAGTCTACTACAGGGAACATATTACAAAGAAACTAGAGCCATCACTCAAACACATGTATGGACTCTCATGTTTATTGCTGCATTATTAGCAAAAAAAAAAAAAATGGAAGCAAACTGGTGCACACCACCAAACAAATGGGTAGAAAAACTATGGTACAGTGGAATATTACACAGCACTGAAAAACAATCAACTTATAAAATATTACACAACATGGGTGAGCCTGGAGGACATTATGCTGAGTGAAATATCTCAGTCACAAAAGGACAAATTCTGCATAACACCACTGTTATATAATAGGACAAATATGGCTGGGGTGAAGAGTTAGGAAGAGAATGGGGGGAAGTGGATAGATAATGAGCACTGCATTAGAACAGATGAGGGGAAGAACTGTTTGAAAGGAATATATGATCAGACATTATATGTATGACGACAAGCTGGGAAGAGGTGAGCATTGCATGGTAAAAAAAGAAGGCACATGTTATATAATTACACTTGTAGAACAAACAAGACTAGGCAAATGTATTAAGACCAAAGTATATTAGCAGTCACTGTGGGTAAAGTTAAGTGAAAGGGGAAATAACTGTTTAAAATGCAGTGAATTTTTGTTTCTGATCTTAGAAAATTTGGCAATGATAAGAGGTGATAGTTGCATGACATGCTTACTGTAATTGATATAATGTACTTGTATACCTATATAATGTTGAATTGACCAAAACTATGCTTCATGAATTTTTTCAATAACTTATAAAAAGAACATTGACCTAGTGAATGTAAGATAATGATATAAGCAACCATACGTAGAGCTCATGGAAGGAATAATGTCCTCTTTGTAAACAATGACCAAGATTTGAGTTTCTCGGAAGCAGCTGCTTCCAGCCAGACCCAACTGCCATTCTGCAGCTTGCGATGACAGGCTTTCGGAGTGAAATTCTGCCTTGAACTTGGATCTAAGTCACCCATTTGAAGCAAGTGCAGCTCTTTAGAAATTTTTTTGTTTGTGCTGTACGTGGAAATGAGAAAGATTTTCCTGGGAGGGTGTAGACAGATGTTCCCAAATTCAGAAGCTGAATTCCAGTTACTGGTGTAAGCCTAAGGCACTTCAGTTAAGGGACTCACAGTCTCACATGGAATAGAACATACTAGGTGCTCGCTCGCTCTGTGTGTGTGTGTGTGTGTGTCTCTTATTTGCCCTCCTGATATTTCTTTGTGTGCTTTGCTATATTATTGTTAGGTGCAGTTGACTCAGCAACCCTGTAAACAACCGATCTGACCCCTGTCCTATCCTGCACCATCCTTACAGTCTCTGACACACTCGCACCCACTGCTGCAGTCACTGTGTCAGCCCATCTCATTGAGGGTTTTCCTCTCCTTCACTCTCCCTCCACCTTCTCAAGCATGATGTCCCTCTCCAAGGAATAGCCTCTTTTAGCAACATGTCCATAGTGTATGAGACAGAGCTTCTCCATCCTTGCCTCCAAGGAGCACTCTGGCTTCACCTTCTCCAAGACTTAACCTTTTCTTGGCAGTCTATGGGATATTTAGTACTCCAGCACCACAACTCAGAGGCATCAATTCCTCTTTGTCATCCTTAGTCACTGTTCATTCTACTTACCTTGGAAGTAGAGAAATTAAAAAAAAAAACACAAACCCACAACAAAACAAAAACAAAACCAAAATGTGCCCCCATTTTTCTTTTCCTTAACCAAGTGTTTTATGTTCCTGTTTGGCATGAGATTTCAGGTTTGTGTCCATAGTCATAGTTTGTTATTGAATATGAATTAATCAAAAGAAAAAAATGGAAAAAAAAAGAAAAAACTGTTGCCAAGAAATTACAGTTCTGTTTTTGGGCACTGCCAACTTGGTAATAATAAGGGGGCAGATTACAGGGCAGAGGAGAAGCGGAATCTCTTGATGTCCACCCTTATTAATTGCATTCCAGCCCTTGGATCATTAGCCTTGTGGAGAGTTGCCTTGATTTTCCTCTCTGCTGTTCTAACTGTTGGAATTTGCTGACTGCACTTTCAAAGCCAATGTAAATGAAAGTTACATCTCAATTTGCTGTTTGCCACCCTTTCTTGTTTTAACAGAAAAAAGCTTGGCCTGACCACAAACGAGAATGCAAATGCCTGAGAAACTGCCAGCCCAGGTACCCGCCCGACTCCGTCCGCCTTCTCGGGAGAGTGCTCGTCAAACTTGTAAGTGTGGAAAGCCTGCAGGTGCTTGGATTTCCATTTAATAGAAGTACTGAAAATTGCATTTATCTTTGGCGTTAAAGGCTGAAATGAAACCCAGGTTAAGGTAGGAGATGGGACTGAATGAAGACATAAATGTTTGCTGTTTTCTTGGATGATTACTGAAAGTCAGAATTGACATTGACTCTGAAGCAATGGCCTGTGTGCTTAGTAGTTGATATTTTGTTTTCGAATTAATCCCAGAATCAATGGCAGTGAAGAAAACCTTTTCTTAAAGGCTTTTGATCTCCTTCTGGCAGTGGAAGAATTGCAATTAAAGATGTTAGTAATAATGTCTGTTAAACACTACCTTTATGACTTTTCTGTGGTGAATTAATGCACAGGGCAAGTGTGTCTTTTTTTTTTTTAATACCTTTTCAAGGGAAACAGTAATAGGAAAGTGACTGTTGCTGGGCGCTGTGGTATTGGCCTTGTGTGCAACAGGAAGAAGACCTGTCTGACCCTGTGCCATCCTGTCAATTGCCAGTGTCCTTGAATCTGTTGTTGTAGCCACTCTGTCTATAAATAGAAACCAAACACTCTGCCCTTGATGCTAATGTGTTGTGTCCCTCTCCGGAAAGGCGTGGCACTGCCAACCCCAAAGTACATGGTTTGAACCCATCAGCTGCTCAGAAGGAGAAAGATGAGAAATCTCCTCTTGTTCAGTTATACTGACTCGGCAAATCTGCTGGAGGGCCAGCTGTGGATCAGTTCTGACTTGATGATACATAACAACAAGCGCAATCTTTATGGGAGGAGACTTTCAGCATAGAGGGCCTGGTGGATTTGAACTTCTCACCTTTCCTATTAGCAGCCTGATATGGAGCAGAACATACCACAGAGCTCCTTTATTGTAAATGAATTTTTTTCCATAGGCAAAATTCATTGAAATTATTTCTTAATCTCTTTTCCCATACTGCCAGAATAGACAGTAGATAATGAAAAATACATTTTATAAAAGAATTTCCTTTTGGAAGTTGATGGATTAAGTTACAGCATAGATTTTATTTTAAAGTTTTTATTATTTAATCAATTCAACCTTAAGAAAGTGATACAGGAACATTTTTTTAAAAATTAACCTTGTATTTAAATAATTAAAATTATTTACTTGATGCTTGTTTATATATTGAGTCACTTTAAATTATTTTTTTCTTCCTTTTTTTCTTTACAGATGGATCAAAAACCTTCTGCATCTGAGGAACTTTACACATTCTATGATCTGGAGTCAAGTAAGTGATCATCTCTTCTTAGCAAACAAAAAAAAATATAAATTAATGCCTCGTGCCTTTAGTAATGGTGGTAAGTGTGTCAGTGAGACTGGCCTCAGGAGAGGGCAGAGTTCAGAGTTATCGTACATAGGGTCACTATCAGTCACAAGCAACTCAATGACAGAGAAAAACAACATCAACAACAACTATTATTTGAGAAGCTGTTCATTTTGTCTTTGCTTTTCTAGGTCTTTAGAATCAAGTCTAACAAAAGTTTTCATATTCTGCCAACATATTAATTTGCTTCATGCTGGGATCACATGGGTTAAATAGAAGTTTGCGAGATCCCATAACTGGGTCCGATTGTGAGGGGAGGGGATTGTGATCCTTTGTCAAGTTGACAGAGTCATCTTTCTCATTTCTGGTTTCTTCTTTCCCTCCTTCCCTTCTCTTGATTTTCTTTCCTACTTCCTCACTGATGTCAAAGAAGAATGATGTAGTGAATAGAAAGTTGAGGGAGCTTTTGCGTTCACTGGTCTTTTATGTAAGTAGCCCTAGTGTCCCAGTGTTTGAGCAATTGACTACTAACTGAAGGATGAGCATTTTGAACCTACCAGCCACTCTGTGGAAGAAGGACATGGTATTCTGCTGCCTTGAAGCTTATGGCCTTGAAAGCGTCGTGGATAAATTCTGCCTCCACCTGTAGGCTTGCTAGGCGTTGGACCCATCTCAACTGTAATGGGTTGTGATGGAGTTGTCTTTGTGTGTTTGGTTCTTTCGATATTGAGAGAGGTAGCAGGTACAGACGGCTCATTGCTCTCTGAGAGCACTGACTTTTCCTTCTCTTGAGCTCCATGGTGAGCACCTCAGGAGTTTGTGATAACATGAGAGCTTTCCACGTCCTAGTGTGAAGCAGAAATGAAGCAAAAAAGCATGTATGTTGCTGTTCATTTCCAACTCATGGTAACCTAGTGGAGCAGAGTCTAAGTACCTCATAGTTTACCAAGCTGCCGTCTTCACTGAGCAGAGGGCCAGGACTCCTTCCACCCCCTAGCTGTTGGGTTCTGACCTCTGACCTAATACTTAGCCGCCTAGAGCTTTACCACCGCTCCTGAACAGATGGGGAGTTTATTCAGCTTTCACATCACAAAGATCTTCTTCAGTCACATTGTAAAGGGCAAATGGCTTCAATCCTAAACCATCTAAAAACCAGAACGAAAAGAGTAGATTCGTGGTTGTTTTTGTTTGCTGTCAAGTCGCAACCAACCCATAGGTGACCTCCAAGAGGATTTTCAGAGGCAGTTAATTGCACAGGAAGAGAGTGCTCATCCTTCTTCCGCAAACAGCTGGTGGATTCAACCTGCATACCTACGAGATTGCAGCGTACTTTCTTACTACTAGGCTACCAGAGCTGCCTAAATTCATGGTAGAGTTCACATTTCTGAATGGAGGCAAATAAGAAATCTGTACAGATTGATGATAATGAGCTCAAGAATGCAAATACTAATAAAGTATTATTTAAGAAATTATTGAGTTAATTGATATGTTAAATAGGTAAATTATAGAAATACGTAAACCTGACATTAGTAACCATTACATTCACCATGATGTGTCTTCTCAGGTTTTAATAGAGAATTAATGAATTAAATTTTCTTGTGATATTACTGCCAAATAATTAACATCTTTTTTAAAAGTTTCTTTATTAATTTTAATGAACATTTACAGAGACTTAGGGTTTCCATTCATTGTTGCACTTTTCTCCTTGTCACCACCCCCAATCACTCCTCTCCTTGAAAAGAAAAAGAAAGACTCTTCCATTGTTTTGCAGTCCCTCCCCCCAAGTCCACTCCACTGTGCAGCCCTCATTCTGGACTCCTGTCATGACAGTAATACCCAATCATATATCCCTTTTAAACAGATCGTAATTAACATCTTTTGTAGTTGAGTTTTCTTTTTAACAATAGCCCTGCTCATTAGCAACGTCCTCACTTTTCTCTAAGAGAACAGCTGCCCAACCTTACTAAGTAAATTGTGCACTGTTAACCTTAGTATCTGTCTGTAATGAGCTTTAAAGTAAAATTTTAAGAGGGTAGTCATGATTTCAGAATGAAGCAGCACCTTATTTTGTTTATTGAATCCGGAAAAACCTGAACTTGGGATGTCTTTGGTCAATCCATGTTTTCTCCTTGATGCCCCGTGTGTCACCCATCCTTAAATTACCTGACCTTTTCTCTTCTCCTTTTGTCTTTTCTACTTATCAGTGAAGCAGACCTATTTATAAAATGTTTACTAGGAAAGTCTGCTTAAATTGACTGAATTGATAAGAATTCATGATGTTTTTTATTTGAATGTAAAAAATAAAGTAGTAAATATGGTATCACATAGTGCTACTAATTTTTATTTTGATGCATTTTCATCTGTATATGCATTTATTTTATTTGATAGATAGTTCATTTTATTTTATAGATATTATGTGGGAGAATTTAGGTGATAAAATATTGTGATATGTCGTTGTCAAAAAATGAAAGGACACATATTTGTTCTCTGCCAGAATGGAATTTAAGGTAGGAAATATCTGGTTTAACAGCTCACATTTGACCCCTGAAAAATGAAACTTTTGCTTTGTGATTGTGCTATTTATTTTCTCTTTAAAAAAAGATATTAACAAGCTGACTGAAGATAAGAAAGAGGGCCTCAGGCAACTGGCAATGACATTTCAACATTTCATGAAAGAAGAAATACAGGATACTTCTCAGCTGCCACCTTCCTTTGATGTTTTTGAAGCCTTTGCAAAAGTAAGCACTAAGTTTTATATATTTACTAGCATAGTGTGTTAAATTTTTGCTCTAATTTTGTTGTTTGATATGTGTAAATCTTGAACCTTTCTGGAAAATCTACTATTCTTCATGTCTAATATCAGTTGGGAATAGATTAGTCACATTGAAAAGGTATTGCGTCCTATTTTATAACAGTGGTTGTATGCAGTATTTTTGCTTTTGTGACTGAGGTATTTCACTCAACATAATGTCCTTCAGGATTCCCCATGTTGTGTAATGTTTTACTGGTTCGTTGTTTTTCAGTGCTGCATAACATTCCATTGTGTGAATGTACCATAGTTTTCTATTCATTCATTTGTTACTGGGCACTTAGGTTGATTCCATTTCATTGCTATTGTGAATAACGCAGCAGTAAACATGGATGTGCTTGCATCTTTTTCAGCTATGGCTCTGGTTTTTTAGGGTATATTCTCAGTAGTGAAATTGCTGGGTCAAATGGTATTTCTATTTCCAACTTTTTGTGAAAACTCCAAATCACCTTCCACAGTGGTTGTACCATTTTACACTTCCACCAGCAGTGAATAAGAGTTCAAATCTCTCGACGACCTTGCTAGCATTTCTTGTCTGCTACCCTGTTGAACTTTACTATTGTTGCTGGGATGAGATGATATCTCATATTTGTTTGATTTGCGTCTTTCTGATAGCTTGGGATTTTAACCGTTTCTTCATATGTGTGTTTGCTATCTGAATGTCTTGGTAGAGTATCTGTTCATATCCTGTGCATGGGAAAGGATGGGAAAAGAGTGGCTAGATAATGAACACTGCATTAGATCAGATAAGGGGAAGAATTGTCTGAAAGAAAGGAATGTAAGATTAGGCATTATATATATGATAGCAATCTGGAATAAGAGGTACACTGTGGGGTGGGCTTAAAGAGGCGGGAGGGGAAGAAAATGTGCAACAATGAAAAACAATTTAAAATGAAACATTCTCTATGTTAAACAACCACAAAAAGTATTAAATTTATGTTTTAAACTTACATGGTGGTTGGTTGAGTATTGAGCCTGTTTTTGAAGGTTACAACTTACCTGAATCTATTACTGTTGTTGGTGCTTAATCATTTTGTTTAGAGAAGATGTATGTTTACCTTCCTATTGATTCCTTCTTCTATCCACTGTCCACTTCTATCTTCAAATAATAGGAGCTTTGGTGGCCTAATGGATAGTGAATTGTGCTGCCAAGCCAAAGGCAGGTGCTTTGAATCCACCGGCTGCTCTGAATATAATACATACATACATACATACACACATAAATGGATAATCATCTCCCATGTGACTTACAGCCTCTGAAAAACGTATTAGTTCTGACTAGACAATTACCAATTAGTAATGACTAGACATGAGTGAGATTGAGACTTTTTTATGATCTTGAAAGAAATTTCTGGTGGGATTTTGAAATGTGCATTTCTTGACAAAACAAGCTCTGAATCTAGAAAATGTGTATACTAAATAATAGTAACTTTTGAAGATTTTAAAATTAGATAATTGTACTTTGAGGATACATTTTTTAGATTGTAATTTTAGTGTAAGTTTACTTTCAGAAAGGAGGAGTTTTCATTGATTTATTGATAAAAATTTTCCTCTTTCACACTCCACAATTCACTTAAGGAGACATATTTAAATAGGAAGTTGATCTTTTTCATTAGTTTTAGCCCATGTGAACAGATAGCCTACTATCTACAGTCATAGCAATCCAGAATGTCATAATAGTTATTTGAGATTTATGTAAGGAATGTAAAAACGTCTTTGTACGAAATAAAAAGGTGTTTTTTCATCAATCTGCTGTCAAAGACCTCACGAAGTACTAAAGACTTTAAAAATTAAGGTGCCCCTAATCCAAACCATAGTATTTTCAGTTCCTTCATATACAGCTGAAAATTAGGCAGTGAATAAGGAAGACAGAATAAAAGTCAATGCCTTTGAATTTTGGTGTCAATGAAGAAGAGTATTTACTATCCCATGGAATGCAAAAAACCAAACAAGCTTGGAGGAAAGGCAACTAGGATGCTCCTTGAAGGCAAGGATAGTGAACCTTTAACCTTTATTTCATATATTTTTGGCATGCTGTCAGGAAGAGTCAGTCCTTAGGAAAAAAAAAATCTAAGAGAAAGGTGGAGAGTCAGGGAAAGAGAGGATGGGTTGACAAGATAGGTTGACACAATGAAGGTAGCAGTTAGCTAGAATATGGTGATGCTCATAAGGATGGCGCAAGATAGGTCAACACCCAGATCCATTGTTCATAGGGTGGACTTGATGACATCTAACAGTAACTGTGTGTGTGTGTGTGTGTGTGTGTGTGTGTGTGTGTGTGTAAGTTTATATCATCGATATCTATGTGCCTATGTCTATATCTATATTTATATTGTAGGCTAGTGGTAAGAAACTGTACTGCAATCCTAAAGGCGCACTGTTCAAATCCACCAGCTGCTCCATGGGAGAAGAATGGTCAGTCTCGTCTTGTATGATTAACTGCCTCTGAAAACCTGCTGGAGGTTCAGCTATGGGTCAGATTTGACTGGACAGTACACAACAACAACAAACATCTATCTATCTATCTATCTATCTATCTATCTATCTATCTATCTATCTATCTATCCATCCATGGAAGATCTATCAACAGTCCACGTTATGCAGATGACACAACCCTACTTGCTGAAACTGAGGAGGACCTGAAGTGCTTGCTGCTGAGGGTCAAGGACTGCAGTCTCCAATATGGATTGAGGCTCAATGTCAGGAAGATAAAGATTCTCACCACTGGACCAATTGACAGCGTCAGGATGGATGGTGAAGAGATTGAGATTGTTCGCAGCTTTAGTCTGCTTGGCTCCGTGGTCAACACTCTTGGCACCAGGAGCCAGGAAATTAAAAGACATATTGTGATTGGAAAGTCTGCTGTTAGGGACCTCTCTAAAGTACTGAAGAGCAAACGGTGTGTCTCTGGAGACTAAAGTGTGTCTGGTACAGGCCATGGTCTTGGCAATCACTTGTTATGCATCAGAGAACTGGACAATGACCAGGGAGGATAGAAGGAGACTTGATGCTTTTGAGCTTTGTGTTGGAGAAGAGTGCTGAGGGTACCATGGACTGCTAGGAAAATAAACAGATTCATCCCGAAGAGGGTTAAACCGGGCTGCTCCTTGGAGGCAAGGATTCTGAGACTTCATCTGACATACTTTGGTCATGTTGAAGGAGAGACCGGTCCTTGGAGAAGGACATCATGCTTGGGAGGGTGGAGGGACAGCGCAGGAGGGGAAGGCCCTCTATGAGGTGGATTGATTCAGTGACTGGGATAATTGGGATGGGAGTGTCGGAGACAATGAGATTGGCACAGGACAGAGTTTAGAGCTGTTGTACATAGGGTCGCTGAGTCGCAAGTGACTCAATGGCACATAACAACAACAACAACAACAACATCTATCTGTCATCTCTATCTGCTTTCAAAGAATGAAATGAAAATAAAATTTGAAAATTATTTCATTGTCTCAAGGATCCCTGTCGCTTAGTTTATATATTAGGCTCCTCTCTGAGAGATTGATTTTATATTCTGCCAGCCGCTCCAAGGGAGAAAGATTGGCAGTCTCCTCCCAGAAAGATTGGCAGTCTCCTCCCAGAAAGCTTTGCAGTCTCAGAAACAAGATCGGGGGGCGGGGGGGGGGGAGTCATTCTGTGTCAAAATTTACTTGATGGCAGCGGTTTTATTAATTTACTGAAATAACATGGACTGTGTAATAGTTCTCTGTTCTATTCTTTAGATTGTTATTTGCCATTGAGTCACCTGTGACTTCTAGTGACCCTCTGTACAATAGCTCTGAATTTTGCTGAATTATCCTTAACCAGTCTCTTTGACTCTGACACACTATCCCTTTATCCCATTTACTGTGTCAATCCACTTCATCCGGGGTGTTCCTCTCTTGCACTGTTTCTCTACTCTTCCAGGCATGATGTCCTCCTCCAGGGACTGGTCCCTCCTGATCACATACCCAAAGTATATGAGACAGAGCTTCAAAATCCTTCCTCCAAGGAGCATCCTGGTTTAACCCTTTCTAGGTTAAATCTGATTATTTTCTTGGCAGTTCATGTTATGTTCAATATTCTTCTCAAGCAGCACAGCCTAAAGGCATCCATTTTTCTTCTGTCGACTTTGGTCCTTGTCCAGCTTTCTAGAGCACAGCAAATAATTGAAACGACCATGGTCCAAATCAGGTGTACCTTAGTCTCCAGATTGACATTTTTGCTCTTCACCACTTTTGAGAGATCATCAGCATTTTTGAGAGGTCCCTGACAGAAGCCTTCCCCAGAGCAATTCGTCTTTTTATTTCTTGACTGCTGGTGTTGGTTGTGGAGCTGAGCAAGTTGAAATTGTTAACAACCTTAATCTTTTCTCCATCTGTCATGATGCTGCCTATTGGCTCAGTGGTAAGAATCTTTGTCTTCTTGATGTAGTTAATAATTAATTATTAGCAATAGTTGTTAATAACCTAAACTTATAGGTCAGTAACTCTGGTACTTTATTTTTCTACATGCACATACCCACACCCATACCCACATACTTCTTATTAAGAATTGTTTTACAATGGCGTGAAAGGAGCAGATGGGATATGGGAGTGGTGGTGGCCGAGTCTGACTTTGGCCCACTTCATAAAGGGAACTGTCCCCATCAGTACTATCCATACAGCAGCATACAGATAGCTGCTAGGTCAGGCACACCACACCATCTCCCATGCTCCTGCACCTTTTTCTACCAATTATATGGGTTCAATATTTGTTGTTGACTCATAGATTTTACTCACAGTTGTGGTACCAAGAGTGGAGTTTATTTGGGAAATGTGTTGGAGAGTGGAAGATGCAAAGAATACCTCACAATACATGTCTAGGTTTAGTCCAGCAGTTCCAAGCCAGATTAACAGCAAAACACAATTCCTTAATTAGTTAAAGTCCTGGTTTCAGTTCAGCAGTCAA